GCAGCCAGGCAGCCCTTCCAAGGGATAACTTTTGTTTTTCACGAAGTGCAGAACCTTTATCTCTTAAAATACCGTGGAAATAATTCATGTCTTCAGCGTGCTGCTCCGCTCTGGCGCGCTGCTGGAGCGTGGTCGGGGTGCCATTCAGCACACAGAGGGTTCTCTGTCCCCTGGCAGCGCTGCCCTACGGTGCCAGCTGAGCGTGTGCATCCAGGCAGATGGGGATGCCCCGGCTGGCAGCAGTGCCAGCGCTCCCCTGGCTGCAGGGCAGGGCTGGGGCACCCCCTGCACCTGCACTCCTGGGGCGTCTTGGACAGAGCTTCAGGTTATTTTGTGTTCTGGCGCATCTGAGCAGTTTTGGGTTTTTTTTGCTTGAAGCGTGGCGTGTAGGGAATGTGTGCTTGTAAACTTCCCGTGGTGGAAATGAAGGGCTGGGATTTGGCCTCCCTGGGTGTGCTGCTGAGACAAGGCTCAGCTGGAGGCTGTGTGTGTGGAAAATGGGGTCTGGGGGGCTGTGGGGCCACTCAGGGATGCTCTCCCTGCCTTGGGGGTCCTGCCTGGGGTGACTGCAGGGACTGTGCCTGTGGCCCTGGTCCTTGGGGTCACCTTGCTGTCTTTGGCACCCTCTGACCTCCATCTGTGGCGTGTGCCAAGCCTCTCCACGGGCTGTTGTGCAGAACGTGATGGCAGAAGCTGTGCTGGAGGTGGGGTGGGCTCTGCCCATCTGCTTTTATATATTTGCTCATGATGATTCAGAGGGGGAACCTGCCAGCAGCTGCCATCCCATCCTAAATCACTGATTAACTCCAACCACCTGGTGGAGAGGTTGTTTAATAAACAAATCAGTGCTAATTCTGCATGGGGGTGACTCTGGGACCGGGCCAGGCCCAGAGGACCGCGGTGGCTCACGGGAGCAGGGCTTTGCTGACCTTGCTGGGAAGCGCAGAGAGGGGATTTGAACCTTGCGGAGCAAACGAAGCGTTCCGTGCTGCTGGTGCTGACCCCAGCGCTGCGAGGGCTGGGGCCGGGCGGGTGAAGCTCCAGACTGGCAGCTGCACATGCAGCTTTCAGGCACGAGGTTCTTGTTGCCGGATTCCTGCACGAACTGCGGGGCCAGGCTGGACAGATGCAGAGCGCTCCGAGCATCCGCGGGCAGGGCCATTCCCAGCTCTGACCTTGCCCAAAGGCCCTCCCTGGGTAGCCCTGAGCTGCAGGAGTGTTGTGTGAGCCCAGAAATGCTGTGCTGCAGCCCTGGCTGGCTGTGGGGACAGACACCACATTGCTGCTTTCTGAGCACCCTTGGAAAGGCAGGCTGTAATCCGGCTGCTGATTAGAGTGGCTGTTCCCTGGATTACCCGTCCCGGCTGGCCCCTGCGTGCCTGGGGAGCTGTGGAGGTGCTGTGTCCTGTTCCCTGCAGCCAAATGAGGGCTGGAAGTGGTGGTCTGCCCTGCTTGGGGCAAGGGGCAGCTGGTGAGACTGGCATTGTCCTCCTGTCCCTCTGCAGGGGCTTGCAGGGGACAGACAGCCCGAGCCTGCTGTTCCTGCTGCTCTTTGCTGTGGGGGAAGGAAGGGGCAGGAGTCTCAGTTCCTGTTGTCCACTTGAACAGTAAATACAGGCTATTAAGCAGTTTTCTTTGCAGGAAGTGTAGAAATCCTGCTCCGTGTGAGCACAGCCTCTGGCAGAGCCCAGAGCCCCGAGCAGCAGCATCCTCTGCTCCCCCTCTGTAGCAGCATTAACCCTTCATGGCCAGACTCAGGCCACCCATCCTGCTGCTTCTGCCCCTGTCCTGGGTCCAGCTGAGCCAGAGCTTTCTGCCCTTTCCAGCTTATGCAGCAGACTGGCTGCAGAGTCAGCTCTGGGGAGAGCCCCCAGCTCTGAGCCAGCAGGTTCACTTTTCCCTGGCTGACCTGATCTTTCCAGCATGGGACCAGGCAGCAGGACCAGGCAGGGGGGGACATTTGTCTTCCTGACATCTCAGTTTGATGTGTTGTGGTTCCCTCAGTGTCCTAGCTGTCGTTTCTGGGGTGCTGACTGCAGACCTGGGGTCACCCCATAGTGCCCAGGCTGCTGCACTCATGGAGGAGGGGTGGGAAATCATGACACAATCCTTCTACAAATGGCCTTTTTCAGCAGTTCCAAATTCCTTTGGAAGAGGCTTTTTATGTAAGAAGCAACCACTTCAGCCTCCTTGTAGTAACAGCAACCACTTCCCAGAAAGACTGAACTCTCAGTAGCTGAGGAGGAGGAGGGGGACACGAAGCACGGGGTGCTGCCTGGCTGCTGATCCCCTGCAGGATTCCTGGGGCTGCACAAGGTCCCTTAAGGCAGGTTTGGAGCCCTGGAGCTGGAGATGTGTGGCTGGGATGGAATTCAGCCAGCAGTTGCCCGGCTCCCTGGCTGCAGAGGGAGGAGGAAAGTGGGGTGACCCCTGGGCTGGTGTGAGGGAGCAGGGACAGCCAGAGGGGTTATCTGAGGCTGCTTCCAGGAAAGGCTGCTGCCCTCTGACCTGCTGGGAGCTGTCCCTGTTCCTGCTCTTCCTGAGGAGGGTGTCGAGGATGCAGTGGATGGGGAGGATGCGTCACTTTTAACAGGGCATTTTGTTTAGATCCTTGGTGGCTGGAGCTGTGCAGGTGGACTTGTGTGTGCCAGTGTTCTGTCAAGGGGACTTTCCTGAAGGGATTGTCCCATCCTCACCAGCCCAGGTGGGAAAAGGGAGCCGTGAGGGGTGATGGTGATGATGAGACCTGCAACCTGAGCTGGTTGTGTTGCTGAGGCAGAAGGATTTTTCAGGCTTTTTGTGGTGGCTTTCCCTGATGCTGCGGTTGACTGGTCAAGCCAGCAGAGAACTTGGAAGGAAAACTTGCCAGCCCCTGGTGCAGCCCTGCTGTGAGTCATGTGCAGTGTCTGGGTGGTTTTGCTCCTGCGTGAGAGGAAGCAGCAGCAGATTCTCTTGAGCTTTTGCAGGACTTTGGGTTTGCTTGTTCACAGCCCTGGGGAGGAAGAACCCACAGGAGCTGAGGCTTGTCAAGGGGCTGCCCTGTTCTCCCTGAGCCTTCCTGCTTCCACTGCAGGGGTGTTGTCCCAAAACACAGCTGAGGGGTTCCAGGAAGAGGGGATGCTGGGGCATGGGTGGCCTGGCTGTGGCCTGGGGAGGACAATGGGGCCCCACAGGGTGGGCATGGGTGCCCTTCTCTCCTTTTCTGGCCAATCCTGCTGCTAATTTTATCCTTTATCACTGTCACTGCAGGAGTTATCTCCCTCTCCCCCTGCCTCTCCCTTGCCTATTTATAAGCACCGTGGGCCATTGCTGTCAGTGCTGCTGGCTCCAAAGGCTTCTTGGCTTTGCTCTGGCTCCTGCCTGGTCCCAGAGCCCTGACCTGCTCCTCACCCTCAGGTGGAGGAGAGGGTGGCCCTGGAGGGGGTGGCCCTGGAGGGGGTGGCCCTGGAGAGAGTGACCCTGCCCAGACTGGGGGGCTCACTTTCCCAGGTGTTCATCCTTGTGCTGCAGCAGCCTCCAGCTCTGGGGTCCTGCCAGTGCTGGGCACGAGGGATGTCACATCAGGCCTGGTTCAGGTGGGGACGTGGCACATGGGATGTGGCCAAGGGCTTGAGGGGCTGGGGCCAGCAGGGGCTGGGGGAGAGGAAATGGCTCCTTAGATCATTAATGTCATCTTCGTGGTTATTCCAGGGCAGGCAGGAGGGACTGGGGGAGAGTCCCTGAGCCCTGGGGCTGCTCCAGCAAGCTCTGGTGAGGGAAGGAGGCTGCTCTGCTGCTGACACCAGCACGGGCACGTGGAAGGGAGCAGGGGGAGCTGCACGGGGCTGTCCCAGTGCCCTTTGCTCAGCCTTGTGCTGAGCTGGAACAAACCCTCCCACCCTTCTGAGTCCCTCTTCTCAATCCTGCCCTGGAGCACTGGGGAAGTTTCCCCAAAAAACATGTGTATTGCTTCTGTAGGTGCCAGTGGAGACTCCTGGCAGCTCCAGGCACAGGAAGGGTGTAAAAGGCATGCTTGTTCCATCCTCCAGGGAGCAAAGTGCAAATCCTGTTATGTGTGAACCTTCTCCTTAAAGAAGCCCCCTCTGTACTTTTCCACTGGAAAGCTCGCAGGGATTTGCCTCTCCCTGCCTGCCTTGGCTGGGTGATTTCCTGCTGCCTTAGGAAGCAGTTGTGTGGAGGCAGCCGGGACTGAACTGGGCAGGATTAACCCCAGGGCTGTCAGCAGCAATACTGGGAAAACAGCTTTAATGCTTGGACAAAGTTGCCAGCTCCCTTATCCCATGGGGAAAGCAAAACACTTGGGCTGTGCTGTGGTTATCTCTTGGCTGTTGGTGTCTGAGAGGAGGAAACGGCCTTTGCGTGCACACACATTTTCCACCAACGCTGGGAAAGGGAAAAACCCATGGAATTTTGGGCTTTGAGTGAAGAAATGCAGGGGCAGTGAACACTGAGTTCCTCACACCAGCGGTGCTGCAGCCACACGGTGCCTTTGGTGGCCTCACGGTGCCCAGGACTGTCCGTGTGTGTCAGGTTAACAGGGCTGGCCTGAAAAGCCAATCCTGGATCCACTCAGGTCACTGTGAGTAAGAACTTAATAGGATGCAGATCTCAGAGAGAATCTGCAGCTCGGGAAGCAGTAAAGCTCTGTGCTGCTGCCTTCCTCTGCAGCCAGCAGCATGGCAGAGCTGCCATTTCCTGGAGGGCAGTGGCACCGTGTGTCACCATTTGCTGCTGCCCCATGGCTCTGGCTCTGAGCTCTGGGGTGGCTCTTTTGCTATTTTGAGGTGTCATCTCCTGTAGGGTATTTTGGGGGTGCTGACAGGGACCCCACAGGGCTGTCCCTGGGGTGGGTGCAGAAGGGCAGCGCTCTGGGGCTTCCCTGGTGGCAGGGGTCCCTCTGTGGGTATTTCCTGGCTGGGATGATGTGTCTGCCTGCATCCTGCTGTTGGGGCACTTTCCCATTTGTAATGTCCCTGTTTCCCCTGCTCCTGCTCCCACAGACCTGTCGGCCGCCAAGCGCAAGTTCGCAGATTCCCTCAACGAGTTCAAATTCCGCTGCATCGGTGACGCTGAGACCGACGATGAGATCTGCATAGGTGAGTCCTGGAGCTCCTGGAGCCACAGCCCCGAGCAGGCACGGCACAGACACACACCAGGACACCAAGGGAATTTGTCTGGGTGCTCCCTGGAAACTGCTTATTCCTCCTGGTTCAACAGCAGCACAGCCTCCCCCAGGGAATGACCTATTCCTTCTTGGCCTAAATCTGTCCCTGCCAGAGAGGAAAGGGAGAAGATTGCCTGTGTCTGAAACCTCCTCAGTTAGCTGGATGTTTTGCACTGGAGAGGAGCATGGAGGTGGTTGTGGCTGGATACACTGCAAGGGGCTGTGCTCTGAAGCAGAGGAGCAGCGGTGTCACACAGGATCCTGTGCTTGGGGGAATCAGCAGCGCCCAGCCTGGCAAGGCTCTCTGAGCTAAGCCTGCCTCTGCCACAGAGCTTCTCCTGGCACAGGGCAGTGGCTTCAGCCTCTTCCCTCTCTCCTCCTGCTCCTGCCCCAGCTGAACTTTTACAGCTTATTGTGCACATCGTCTGGAGCCAGGAGAGCAAAGAAGCTTTAGCCCTGATTTAACTTTGCTTGTTTATTTGTGCCCAGTCTCTCAGCAGAAATAGCTCCAGGTCTCCCTGGTGCCGTGCCCGTGCTGGGGAGCTGCCCCTCGTGTGCTGGGCATGGCTGGAGGCCAGTGCTGTGCTGTGGGGCTGGTTGGTGACTGACTGTTGGGCAGGGCAGGTTTGAGCTGAGGATGTTGCTGTCTGGAGGAGGAAGCCTGGTCCTGGGGATGCTCTGCTGCCAGCTGTAGGCAGCAGGAACCTTTCTAGGGAGAGAGCAAAGATAATAAAAACCCCAACCTCCCCATCCAAGACACAGACAGACAAAACCCTTCTGTGCAGTTTCTTTCTCTAAAAACTGAGTGTTAAATGTTGACTGTGTCCCTTCCAGCCAAGTCTCTGCAGGAGTTTGCCACGGTGCTGCGGAACCTGGAAGACGAGCGGATGCGCATGGTACGGTCCCAGCTGTCCTGGGAGCAGGGGGTGGTGGCACCTGGGACACCCTGGTGACAGTGACTGCTTGCCCCAGTGCTCCTTCCCTCGCCTGGCGTGGAGCTGCAGGGGAGGGCAGAGGAAGGAGAGGGTGGCTTGGCAGGGAAACACTGGGAAAGCATCAGGAATGGAGTCTTGCTGTTGGAGAGTGGCCGGTGCTGGTGCTGGGGGGGTCACAGGTGGGCAGAGACAGAGGAGTGGAGCCTGGGCGTGTCTGGGGGCTGTGGGAGGGTTTCCATGGAAAAGGCTGTGGAGCAGCACAGGTGAGCCATGCCTGTCTTTGCCCCCAGATCGAGAACGCCAGCGAGGTGCTGATCACGCCGCTGGAGAAGTTCCGCAAGGAGCAGATTGGGGCTGCCAAGGTAACCCAGCCAGTGCCCCCCGGAGCTGGCCAGGAGCTGGCACACTGCAGGATGGGCTCGGGCATGGCAGGAGGCAGTGTGCTGCTCTGGGATGGACACGGGGCCATCCAGCTCCCAGGAAGTGCCTCAGTGTTCCGAGTTCACCCACAGCCAAACAACGTGCCAAGGGCAAAAAACTGCATGCCAGCCAAAGTGAACTTATTTTCCTTACTCCAAGGAAGAATTAGGATTTTCTTGGAGGGGCTCACATTGTCCTGAGTCCCCCAGCCTGCACTCCCCACCCCAAGGCATCGCTGGAGGCTGCACGGGAACTCGGACACTTCTGGCAGGACGGGGAAGCGCCGGTTTGGCTGAGGGCGGCTGTGAGACAGCCTGGCCCCCCCCTCTTTCTTTCCTGCCTTTGTTCTGAAATGAAAACCACTGTCTGTGGCTCCCCTGTTGTTATAACAACCTGCTGCTGCCTGCAAGCAGCTCATGCCAGCGCCCGGGGCTGTGTTCGCATGGCAGCGGTGCCCAGCCCGGCCCCTGCAGCTGGAGACAAAACAGAGAGGAGTCCTGCAGAATGCACCTGCTTACTGCAGCTTTGGCATGGATTGTCTCCTGGCATCTTGGGCTGGCCAGGCTGGCACTGGGGTGCAAAGGAAAGTGAAGTTGGTGTCCTTAATGCTGCTGCCACAAACAGCCCAGGTGCTGTGTCGTTGTCCCTGACTCACAGAGGAGAAGCTCTTGCAAGGGGTGCCAGGGTGGGATGTGGAATTGTGACCACGTTCTGCTTAGAAAGCACTTTCCTTGCTCTGTTGCTTTTGGACCTGGGTCTGGATGTTTTACCAAGCACTGGGCCCCAGGAACAGAGGAGGGGTTCCCTGAAGCCTTGGGTTTTGGCAGCATAAGCTGCTTTCCTGTAGCTGCTGATGCTGGCAGATAAAAGCAGCCTCACCTGCTTCCAGCTGCTGCCCCCAGGTCCTGTCTCATGGTGGCTCCCACTTGGGACTGCCATCCTGCCCAGTGCCACAGGGACGCTGTCACAGCTGCTCTGGGACCGTTGTGTTCAGTGTCACACTTTTTGTCCTGTTTTGTAGGATGCCAAAAAGAAATATGACAAGGAGACTGAGAAATACTGTGGTGTCCTAGAAAAGCACTTGAACTTGTCTTCCAAGAAGAAAGAATCCCAGCTTCAGGAGGTCAGAGCAGCCTCTGAGTTTCCATGTCTGGCTGTGACTGGGGAGAGCTTTTTGAATGTCTCACACAGCGTATAACAATGGTTCTCCTGGCTGTAAACTCATTATTTCCCTCATTCTGGCTGCGGGTGCTGGGTTTTCCCCTTTTCCTGTAATGAAGGGATATGGAGCTTTCTTGGTGAGTAAATCAGAGAGATCCCAAAATGGATAGCAATCAAAAAGGAGAGAGGGTTTATAATTAAAGAGTGTAACAGAAAGGAACTGGTTCTGCTGCAGTTTCCCATGTGCTAGCACAAATCATGGATGTCTGGTCTCCTTCTCTGCAAGTGGCTGCTCTGCTTTGTGCTCCAGGGAAGGAGGGAGCAGTCTTAGTGCCTTAAACTCTTTAAGCACCATCAGTGATTCAGGATGTGGTTAGCTGTGGTGACAAGTGCTCCTACTGGATGAGTATGCTGAGTTTTCAATCACTTCTTTTAAGTCTGGAATTCCTTGTGCTGGCCCAGAGCTGGGTTGGTCCTGCAGGATGTGTGTCCTTGCCCTTGGGCATGGTGCTGGTGTGCTGCTGATCCCTTACTGGGAGCACTGGTGGGCATGGGGCTCCTGTACCCAGGTGGTGGGACTGTGCCCAGCAGAGCTGGGGACTTTAGAGCAGAAATACCAGGGGCACAGGTGATCATCTCCCAGCAAATCTGGGCTGAGGAGGGCTCAGAATCTGGGCAGATTTGCCTGTAAGCCAGCCTCGTCCTTGAGGTTTGTAAATAACTTCCCATGTGGAAGCACCCACATGGGAATGGTGGCTTTGAAATGACCCTCTGAGCCTTGGTTTAGTTCGTGTTTGAGGTAATGATATGGGGCATGGAAGGAATTCTGGCTGGGGAGGGAAGGATCCACTCGTGGCTGTCAGAGCTGTGATCCTGTGCCCTGGACAGAGCACGGCCCTGTGGGGCTGCCTGGAGATGCCATAGGGGCTGCAGGTGGGATGCAGTGTGGGATGCAGTGTGGGATGGTGTGTGGGATGCAGTTTGGGATGCAGTTCAGGATTCAGTTGGGGATGTGTTTGGGATTCAGTTTGGGATTTAGTTTGGGATGTGTGCGGGATTCAGTTCGGGATGCAGTTTGGGATTCATCTGGGAATATGTGGGATTCTGTTTGGGATTCTGTTCAGGATTTAGTTTGGGATGTGTGCGGGATCGGTGTGGGATTCAGTTTGGGATGTGTGTGGGATTCAGTTTGGGATGCAGTTTGGGATTCTGCTGGGGACGTGTGTGGGATGCAGTTCGGGATGCAGTTCGGGATTCTGCTGGGGATGTGTGCAGGATCAGTTCGGGATGCAGTTCGGGATGCAGTTCGGGATTCATCTGGGGATGTGTGCAGGATGCAGTTCGGGATGTGTGCAGGATCAGTTCGGGATGCAGTTCGGGATGCAGTTCGGGATGCAGCTGGGGATGTGTGCAGGATGCATGCGGGATGCCGGCGCTGTGCAGGTGCGGTGCAGCAGGCTGCCTGCTGGTGCCATCTGGTGGCATCTCCCACCCGGGCCGTGCTCGGAAGGCAGGAGGAGCCCGCTGGAGCAGCTCCCAGTTCAGGGGCTGGTTCCTGTTCCCCCGTGCCACTGGGAAGTGTACGTGGTTTGTGTGGCTCAGACTCCCCCGAGGGAGGGGTTACCTTAGAAAGAGGATTTAGTGAGGAGTTGTGAAAGGTGGATGTGGAATCCCTGGCGAGGGGGAGTGCTTTCCAGAAAAGGGAGAGTTGCCTTTTCTTGTCAAGTTCACAGATTTCCATTTTTCTCGCCTCTACTGCATGTTTTCTACCCAGCTGTTGGGGAGGTGAGAACATGAGTCACCACACCCGTTTTCCTCAGCTGAAGGAAGAGCTTGCTCATGTGGATCAGGTTTATGTTTATTGCTGTGCCACCTGTCCAGCTGGGACTGGGGGCTGGAGCTGGGTTTGCTGTGCTTGGGGGTGCTCCCATCAGAGCCAGGTATGCTCTGGTCGTTCCTGAGCTCTGTTTCCTCTCCCACCCCTCTGCAGGCAGACAGCCAGGTGGACCTGGTTCGGCAGCACTTCTACGAGGTCTCCCTGGAATATGTCTTCAAGGTGCAGGAGGTCCAGGAGAGGAAGATGTTTGAGTTTGTGGAACCTGTAAGTGAGCTCTCAGTCCGGCTCAGCCTGCACCAAACTGGGGGGGTGTGGTGAAACGGGGTCATGGGGAGCCCTGGCAGTGCAGGGCCAGCCTCACCCCACAGCCCCTCTCACAGAGGGCCCACCAGGGAGCCCCTCCACCCTGGGGGGCTGCAGGGCCCCCTCCCCTCAGCACTGGTGCCTCTGAGTCTCCACTGACCATCTCCACTTGCTTTTTCCCAATGCAGCTGCTGGCCTTTCTGCAGGGTCTGTTCACATTCTACCACCACGGCTACGAGCTTGCAAAGGACTTCAGTGACTTCAAGACAGAGCTGACAATCAGCATCCAGAATGTGAGTGTGCCCAGGGTGTCCCTGTGCCCAGGCTGTCCCTGTTCCTGGGCTGTCTCCGTGCCCAGGGTGTCCCTGTGCCCATTACTGTCAGTGTCTCCAGAGCCACCTCACCTTCTGGTGTATTTTAATCACAGAATTCCAGAGTGGTTCGGGTTGGAAGGGACCTAAAAGTCATCTCATTCCCATTCCCTGCTATGGCAGGGACACCTTCCACTGTCCCAGGTGCTCCCAGCCCTGTCCAATCTGGCCTTGGGCACTGCCAGGGATCCAGGGGCAGCCACAGCTGCTCTGGGCACCCTGTGCCAGGGCCTGCCCACCCTCACAGGGAAGAATTTTTTCCTAATATCCCATCCAAATCTCTCCTCTTTTAGTTTAAATCCATTTCCCTTGTCCTATCACTATCAACCATGTCAAAAATCGCTCTCCCTCTTTTTGTAATCCCCCTTAAAGTTCTGGAAGGCCTTGCCAATTCTTGTAATATTTTTGCTTTAGCTTAAATCCAGGCCCAGGAAGCAAACCTGCCCTGTGGCTGCCCCTGGGCTCCCCAGCCCCATTTCCCACAGGGCTGTAGGGACCCAGCCCCACCCCATGTGTGCAGAGCCAGGCACAGGTCCCTGCACTGGAGAAGACATTCCTGTTTTCATTTGCAGACAAGAAACCGCTTTGAAGGAACGAGGTCAGAGGTTGAAGCTTTGATGAAGAAGATGAAGGAGAATCCCCACGAGCACAAAAACATCAGCCCTTACACGATGGAGGGCTATCTCTACGTGCAGGAGAAGCGTAGGTGTCGGGCTGGGGAGCGTGGGGGTGGCAGCCTGGGGAAGGGGTTTGCCAGGACAGGGGCACAAAGGCTGATTCAGCAGATTCAGATTCAGTCAGAGTCCCTGGAAGGCAGGGATTGGCCCAGTGAGTGGGGTGCTCAGTGGGAATGTGGCAGCCAGGGAGAATCCCTGCCAGTGCCTCAGAGGAGTCTGTTAGGTACAGCAGCCTGGCATGTGAAATGATGGTTAAACATAGCGGGTTCTAATGGGAGAGCTGAAACTGTTCTGGGCATGAAGCCTGTGTTTGCTCTGCAGGTCACTTTGGGACCTCCTGGGTGAAGCATTACTGCACCTACCAGAGGGAATCGAAGCGCATCACGATGGTGCCCTTCGACCAGAAGTCAGGAGGAAAAGGGGTGAGTGCTGGCTGGGAGCAGGGGGAAAAGGGGTGACTGAGTTCTGGGAGAAGGGGGAAAAGGGGTGACTGAGTGCTGGGAGCAGGAGGAAAAGGGGTGACTGAGTGCTGGCAGCAGGGGGAAAAGGGGTGAGTGAGTTCTGGGAGCAGAACTGTGTCCTGCCAGGGAGCACATGGCACTGCTGGCTGCAGGCTCTCTTGGGGCTCAAACTGTGTCACCTTTTTGGCAAGGTGACACAAAGGCAGTGAAGTGGGTCACATTGATTCCAGGCTGAGTGGCTGCCACACGGGGAATGAACTTAGCACCTGGTTTGAGAAACAAAAGACAGGAACCCCCCAGAGCCCACAGATCTTTGCTAGCCATGTGCACCCACCACGCTCCAGCTCCATGGGTTGTCCTGCTCCCCAGTCCCTCATTCCTGCTCCAAGGCACAGACAAGAGAACCTGTTCATTATTTTGCCCCTTCTCCAAAGCCTGTGACTTGTTCAAGGCCAGGTTGGATGGGGCTTGGAGCAGCCTGGTTGAGTGGAAGTGTCCTTGCCCATGGCAGAGAGAGGAACAAGATGAGCTCTAAGTGCCCTTTCTACCCCAACCATTCAGTGAGTCTCTGATGATTCTGTGACTTGGCCAATGAAGTCGTTTTGTTTTGGACAGAGCCACAGCAGAGCCTGGAGCTCCCCTTGGCCCCGAGGGGGTGTGAAGAGCAGGGGGAGCAGTGGGTGTGGGGTGTGGGGAGCCAGCACAGGCTGTGTCCCAGTGCTCCCAGGGCTGTATCCAGGGCTGGCTTTGCTGCTCTGTACAGCAGGAACAATAGACCCATCCACAGCGTTCCCAGCTGGGACAGTTTGCAAACACAATCCCCTTGCTGGGGAGTGCCTGGGGCAGCTGGACAGGCTCCCACACTGCTTCCTGCTGGCATGAGGAGCCAGCTGTGGGCAGGGAAGCTTCTAAAATTAATTTCCTCTTGCCTTGGAGCATCTTCATTATGGCTCAGCATTAACATATCCCAGCCCTGTAATCATCAGTGGCTGTACTGTGTTTTGTCTGGTCCCTTCCCATTTCAGGGCTCTCCCAGCACCCTGGGCTGTGGGAGCTGCTGGCAGCAGCCTGAGCCCCTCTCCAGGGCCAGGCTGGAGCCCCTCTCCAGGGCCAGGCTGGAGCCCCTCTCCAGGGCTGTGCTGGCACTTGTGGCTTGCACCACCCTGGCAAGAAATGCTTCCTGTGCTGGGGCAGCTCTGGCTCCAGGGTCTGTCAGTGGTGACCACCATGGACATCTGGGCATGGAGCAGCCCAGGGCCTTGGGGCTGCACTGCTGGGAATTCTGGGGTCTGCCTGGAGCAGGTGCTGAGGTGCTGCATGAGGAGACCCATCACTCCTGGGTCACAGGGGGTGCCAGCCCCTCGTGACCTTGGGCTGTGGCCAGAGCTGGGTGTTGGTGGGTTTGGAGCAGGGGCATTCCCTGAATTCTGGACAGGGAGCTGGGCAGAGTGGGAGCAGCCTTGTCTGGGGAGACAGGGGGAGCAGCCTTGTCTGCCAGGCTGGGGGGCACCAGGGGCACTGCCAGACCTGGGGAGAAGCCCTGCAGGAGCTCTTCTGTCTTCCTGGTCCGTGCTGAGTCCCTTTGTCTGGGACTGGAGAGTTCTTGGTGGGTTAGAAACCATGGAAGCACAGAGAACAGCCAGGTTAGGGCTGGTTTTGGGGCAGGTTCAGAGTCCCAGCAGAAGAGCATCTACAGCAGTGCCTGCAACATGGGCAACCAGCAGGAGGGGCTGGGAGGCACCGTGCAGCAGGAAAAACTGCTGCCATCGTGGGGGCACGGTGGGATGGGGAGGACTGAGTGTCAGGGAGTGTTCTGGCTGCCAGGAGCTGAATGGTGCTGGCAGTGGGGAGGAGTTTATGGGTAAGAACCAGGGAGTCACCCTCCCTGGGGGGTTTTAATGGACGTGTAGTTGTGGCTCGTGAGGACATGGATCAGTGGTGGGCTTGGCTGTTCTGGGCAACTTTCAGACTCTGTGATCTTTGAGGTCTTTTCCAATCTAAGTGATTCTAAATATGTTTCCTGGAAAAATGGTGATGTCAGGGAACAGGGTGGTCAGCCAAGGTGTCATCAGGAAGAGCACAGAGAGCCCAGAAAAGTGTCTGTCTCCAGGAACTCCTTCAGAATTCATTTTCTCTTAAGTCATCAGTGGAATTTCACAGTTGCAGAGGTGTCTGTGCTGGCAGGGGCTGAGGCAGGATTCCCTCCAGCAGAGGACAGCAGTGCTCACAGATCCTGCTGGATCGCTGCTCAGCCCTCTGGAAATCCAGTACAGCTTGGATGCAGAGAGGCATTCTCTGGGTGGGAGAATGGTTTTGTCATTGCTTTGTTATATAATAAACATTTTAAGACGTGTTTGCTCCTGTTAGGAGTCCTCGTGTGCACAGTGCTGCCAAAAATGCAGCGTGGAGTGCAAACTGCCAGCAGGTCTAGGGAGTGCTGTTCAGCAATGGAAAATAAAGCTGATTTTGCCCAAAAGCTGTGGTCCAGCAGTACCTGCCCAGATGAAGAATGGGTTGTGTGGTGCTTTATGCACAGATTGAATTGTGGGCATCCTGAAGGGAAGGCTCCTCATGAAAAGTTTTGGACTAAATAAGGGTAAAAAAGACAATTCCTCCTGTTAGGGATAAAACCAGATGCTTTTAGCAGGTGATGTTGCCAGATTCCCCCAGGTTTGAACCTGCTCATTGACAGCCATGCGTGCTGGGGACAGGCCTGTGGCTGTTGGTTGTTCTCAGCCTCAGCTGTGATTTTGTCTCTTCTCAGGGCGAGGATGAAGCTGTCACCCTGAAATCCTGTACACGGCGGAAAACAGACACCATTGAGAAGAGGTTCTGCTTTGATGTGGAGGCTGTGGATCGGTGAGTGCTGCCAGGAAGCTCCTGGGGCTGTGCTGGCTGTGTGGAGGGAAGGGCTGTGCTCCTGCTCTTGGCTGTGGGACAGTTCCTGTGCAGTTCCCGTGTTTCTCTCCATCAGTCACACCCTCTGTGAGTGGAAAGCATTAGTCCATGGAATCACACCTTTTCCAGGCAGGTGCTCTCCGTGTATTGAGTCAGTGCTTTGGTTTACAAGTCTCTGTGACTCAGGTCTCTCTGACTTTAAGGGTGTTTTGGCACTTCTGCAGCCTCTGGCCACAGAAGGTGAGCAGTTGCCAGCCTGCAAAAGGTGCTCTGTGGCTGTTCTGGCAGGGATGTGCTGCCTCTTCCCAGCACTGGGTATGTGCTGGAATAGTGTCAGCTTTGCTGCTGGACTGGCTGTTGCTGGTTCATCATGGATGGGTGATAATGGACTCTGGCTCGTGCCTCCAGGCACTTTCACTCCTTTTTCCTGAAGAAGGAAAACCCTTCTGCTGACTTATCGCCCAGCAGCTGGAGCAGAGGTATGTGTGGATTCAATCTCTGGCGCCCAGAAGTGAGAGCTGTTACCCTATCAGCTAGCATCATGCATGGCTTACACATATAAACAGGAAAGCCAGGCTGGTGTTGCTATTCCAAGAGGAATTAGTCACTGCTTGGGTCTCCCTCGCTGCAGAAGTTCACATGGTTCACAGAAGCCTGCTCCAAAGGCACTCAGTGTGTTCTCCCAGTTGTGTGCCTGTCCTCCCATCTGCAGGAATTCCCTGGAGGTCTCAGAAAAACCCGAGTTCATTAAAATGTGGGTGCTGAATAATGCTGGAATAACCCTGGTGCCTCTCCCTGTCCAGCCTGTGCTTGGGACAGCATTTTGGTGCCAGCCCGTGGCAGGGAGGGGTTGGGGTGATGGAGGCTCTGCCTGTGTTGGCTGAGGGAGGAGATAACCTGGGGCTGCCTCCCACTCTCTGGAGCTGTGCTTTTCTCCAGAAAGTTGCAATATTTCTGCTGACACAGGAATTTTTTTTTTTTTGCTGTGCCCTGGGGATATTTCTTTTTAATGTGAAAATCAAACTAAAAAGTGGGAGAGGGAGAATGGAGCTACAATAATTTTTGTTCAGCGTGTTCAGAGGCAGCTGAAGCTTCTCTTGATGTTTGGAGCCTGCCAGGCATGGGATCAGGAGCTGCTCCAGAAATCTGCGTGCTCCATGTAATTAATGGTAGTGGAGTAGCACAGGAAGGGGAAACCTGAGGAATTTCTCCTTTCATGTACACATTTCTGCTGCAGGGATTTGCCTGAGAGAGCAGGAGAGCAGGACACCTGAAGGAAAAGGCTGTTTTTTCCCAATATACAGGCAGCTCTGCATTCTCTTGGTATCAGAATTTGTCATTAGATGTCTAAAATATTGGATAAACTTAAGAGGAAGAGGAAGCAACAAGTTTTGCCACGGCTGAAGGAGGCTGTGGTGTGCCCAGCCTGTCTCCCTGTTCCTGGGGTAGGTCCCACTGTAGCTGGAGATCACCTCCACCTTGCCAGCTCCGGGGCTTGGGCTGTCCTACAGCTCTCAGACAGCCTGGAGGTGGCAGCCTCGGCCGTGCTTCAGACACTGCACACAAACAGGGCTTTTGTCAGCCTTGCATTTTGGGAGCTCAGCAGTAACACCCTAAATAGCACCAGCCAAGAGCTGTTCCTTCCTAGGTGCGAAAAAAAAAGTGCGTTTTTCTCCTGTAAAGATGATTCAGCACAACCAAGCTGAAAATCTGGAGCCTGATCTGTTATTACAGCATTGCTTCCTTGTCTCAGAATCCCAGAATAGTTTCTGTTGGACCTTAAAACCCATCTCATTCCACCCCCTGCCATGGGCAGGGACACCTTCCACTAGACCAGGTTGCTCCAGCCCCCATCCAGCCTGGCCTTGGCATTTACAAATAGCTCTCATGTTCAATGTAGCAAGTTAGAAGTATTGTACTGTGTTGTTACAGCAAAATTAACCCCAGAATGGTGTTCTAGGGTCTGGCTGAAATACATCCCCAGCGTGATGGATACTGTGTTTTCCTGCTAATGCTCTTTTTTCATTAACTAAACTCCTTTGTAGTCTCTGCACATTAAGTCAGGTTTGTAAACAAGGTGAACAGGGATGTCAGCCAGTGTCTTACAAAATGAGCCTGGGGAGGAGGAGTATCTCATTTGACTGATGACAAAGGCTTTGTCATTTAGGATGATGTAGGTCATTGCTCTGGGCCAGAAGCAAACTGCTTCTAAGTGCCAGCTGGCTTTTAGGGGAGCAGGAGCTTTTCAAATGCAGGGTTTGGTGTGTCAGGAGAGCAGTGAACTCTGCAGGTACCACCATTGCCCTAGACTCTGCCTGGGTGTGCCCAGGGTGACTGGCACCACACCTGGACACAGTGGAACCCTAGAGCCAAAATCCCAGAGCCACTGAGGTGGGAAAATACCCCCAACACCATCCAGTCCCCGCTGTGCCTGATCCCCACCTTGTCCCCAGCCCAGAGCACCGAGTGCCACCTCCAGCCCTTCCCTGGACACCTCCAGGGATGGGCACTCCAGACCTCCCTGGGCAGCCCCTGCAATGCCCAACCACCCTTCCCAGGCAGGAATTCTTCCTGAAACAACTGGCGCAGGGGCTGGGTGCTTGGCGTGGGGCTGGGAGGGCTGCCAGGCACCTGCCACTGCTGCCCTGAGCAGATGGTTTTCCCCAGGAGGGCTGTTGGCCTTGCTCTGGGAGTGCACTTGAAGATGCAGGGCTGTGACAGTGGCAGGACCTGTCCCCTGCTTGCTGTGCCAGGTGACCCCAGCCCTGCTGTCCCCGCGCCCGCAGCGCCTCAGTGCAGTGCAGCCTGTCCCCGTTCTCTGCCGGTGTCACCTTTCCAGCGACCTTTAAAACAAAGCCTGGGGGTTGTCTCAGGGGGCGAGGGATGGGTTGTCACAGTGAGGGATGAGGCTCCTTCCCCTGGTGGCCACGGTGGCCCCGAGCCCTGCGGAAGGTGCCGGTGGCTGTTCTGCTGGTGCTCCGAGATCCCCGTGGGTGCCCAGACCTTGTGAGCTCAGAGTCAGTCTCCCCCTTAATTCCATCTTTGCTCACCAGCTTTTTGGGGCCGCATCTGGCTGCTGGTGCCTGGCCCATGGCTGTGGGGTCCTGTGAGGGCTGCACTGCTCTGCTCAGGACTGGGAACATCTCTGTGCACTCAGCCCAGCTCAGCCCCTGTTATTAATGCACTCTTGTGTGTTTTCATCAGCAGTTTAGATTGTCTCGCTGTGATAAGCTGCTACAGCAGTTGGAAGTTCTTATCTGTTTCTATTGCTTTCCTTATTTGTTTGTTTTCCTGGAAGAAGGAAAAGCTATTGCAGTTTCTCATTTTCTCAGTGTGCTTAGTCACAGCTCCTTGAGGCCAGGCCATTTGTCACAAAAGCTGAGATATTGAGAAAATTCAAATTTCCTGTGTGGTCTCGTATGGAAAAAATCTTCCATTTTTAGATTGTAGCATATTGAAAATATTCTTTCTTATTAAGTGTTTGCCATGTTCTGCTCTGGTCTCACCCTCCTACACTTACTCCATTTAGAAATGGATTTCTTCTGATCCCAAAATGTCCCTTCCGCTCCTTGTGTCCCAGAAAAAGGCAGAGGGGTTTGGTGGAAAATGTGGAGTGCAGGTGGAAATGTGGGATGCAGCACCTAGGAGTGAATGAGCAGGTCCTTGATCTCGTTTGCCACAACAGCTCAGGTTCCAGGAGGGTGTCCTGCTGTCTGTGACACGGCTGGGGCTGGCTGGGGTGGGCTGGCTCCACGTGGGTACAGGTACACGCTGTGCTGGGAGGAGGTGGGAGCTGCCCCACAGCAGAATCTGTATTTACTGCATGTTCTCTTTATAAATAATTATCTGCATAAGTGACCCCCCAGTATTTGGGTAATTTGTCAGGTGAGGGGACAAGGACAGGTCCCTTTTGGGAAGGGACATCCGAGCAGGGTTTTGCCATGGCTGTGGGAGGGGCTGCTCCTGAGGAGGCTGGCTGAGGATGGAGCTGTGTGCAGGCAGTGTTTCCAGCAGGGCTGGTGCTGGCAGGAGGCTGATCCTGTGCCAGCCACCCGACCTGGCTGTGAGCACATGGAGCCCCGTGGGCATCGGCCACATCCATAATGAATGAGGTATAATGTGTGGGTGCATTTTAAATTTATCACAGCCAGGAAGATGGTTCTGCTCAGGAAAGTGATGCAATGGGTGTCCTGGCAAATAAACACTGGGGGAGGAAATGCAGGGCTATTTGCAATGGAAATTGGGTTTGATTCAGTTTCACAGCCCCTCCCCTCATGCTGTTAAAGAAGTTTGACTTTGAAGTGAAGCCCCAGGAGTTGTTATCTGCTCAGAGGCAGAACAAACATTTTGCTGCTATCACCTCTTTGCCCTGTGCTGAGGGAAGCTGGCACTCCAGATACCAGCACTGCCATTCTGGGACCCAGAGTCCAGTGCCCAACATACCATGAATGGAGGGTTTAAATTTCTCTGCTCTATTTCTTTGGCTAAAGAGACAGAAATCCCAGAATTTCCTTTCCTGTGTGTCTCTTGCTGAGCTAGAGCCCCTCCAGGGCTTTCTGCCTGAGGTGTCTGTGCCTTCAGCAGCAGCTTGGCTTAAAGTCAGACCTAAGCCCTGGCTAAAGTGGCCACTGCAGCTCCCCAGGTACCAGGGACTGCTCTTGGGTCACTTTGTACCTGCACAACAAGGAGCTTTGTGCAGTGTTTTGAACATATTTGCTGTTGGATGTGGAGCATTTTCCCTCTCAGATGGGGTGATGGTTAAGTGGTTTCCTCTTCCCTCCGAAGTGAGTAAACTTCCAAACCACTAAGCTGGTGAGTATTGACTGACTCACCAATGGGATTAGCAGAGATCAAGCACATTATGTCTGGTTTTTGGACCTGGGCACAGCTTCCACTGGTGGGACAGTGCTGAGCTGCCGTGTGCCTGCTGAAAGCTGGGCTGGTTGGATGGTAGTGGAGTTAGGGAGAAGGGTTAATGCTCAGTTCCTGGCCGGTGCATGCCACAGAGCAGCAGCAGAGGGGCCAAGCCCACCTCTTGAGAGCCCCTGTTAAAGTTTAATTTTCTTACAGGCTCTTATCAAGGACCAAAGGGCATCTGCAGAGTGTTGGTGCAGCTCACGTTTTCCGGCTGAATCACCCTTGGGAAGTTCAAGTTAGAAATCACCCCTCTCCCCAGGCTTTATCAGGTTTTGGGGGTTGAGTACCGAGCAGAGCCTACGTGCTCAGTGGAACACTCTGCAGGTGGCTGGCAGTTCCCGAGGTTTAATCCCCCTTTCCCTTCCCTTCCCTCCCTCCCCGTGCCCCGCAGCGCTCGGAGCAGTTCCTGGCTCCTGTGCCCTTCCAGAGCCCCTGCTCTGCTGGGCTGGGAAGAGCAGCATCAGAGGCTGTGTGCTGTCACAGCTCAGTGTTTGAAACCCCACGGGCAGAGAGCTCGGCAGCCGCCCTGCGTGTCCCCGTTGCCAGGGAATCTGCTCGCCGTGCTCCGGCGGGGATGCTCGGCTGCTGTGTCTGGGAACAGCCGGGGAGGGAGCGGCAGCGCCAGAGCAGACACACGGACAGGTCTCACTGTCTGTCTGCCTGAGCGCTGGGGGGGATGTGGCCACCCTCTGGAGCTGCAGAGCCAGCCCAAAGGCACAAGGCTGAGAAGGCTTAGCCAGCTGTGTGTGTCGGGGTCCAGGCTGCAGGATGGGCTGGGATGTGGAGGTGGAAATCCTGGGAGCTCACAGCCACGCACGGCGCAGTGAGATGGCAGCCCCTGGTGGGGGATCACAGCTCCCACCCTCCGTGTCCCCACACCCCCCACCTGAGGCTGTGCAAGCACTCTGTCATGTCAAATCCATCCTCAGCCTGCTGGTCACGCGTACCAGAGCAGGTAAAGGAGGTTTGACTCCTTGCATGGAAAGGGTGGTCCAGGAGTGGACGCAGCTCCACTGAGGAGCGTGGAGGTGGCGTTGGCCTTCAGGCAAGGGCAGTGCCACTGCTGTCCCCTGCTCCTGTGCTGTGTGTGCAGCACGCAGGCCTGTCCTTTCCCCTTCTCATTACAGTAAATGAGCAGTCCCAGAGCTGTTTGTTGGAGGTTGACAGGGCAGCTCTGGTGTAGTGTGTGTGACAGTGCTGGGGGCAGGAGCGGCACCCTGGGCACCTTGGGACTCCTGCATTGCTCCCCCTGTGAGGCTGCTGGACGGGGACAAGGACCAGCATTGTGCCACTGCCGCTGCCGTGTCTTACAGCAGGGTATGGACAGGGCCAGGGGACTGGCACAGCCATGAGGGCACAGACATCTTTGGGATGAAATGCTTTGCACAGCAGAAGGTCTCCTCCATGAGCCTGGTGCTTGGGGTGCTGGTGAGACACGGGGGGCTGGGATGTGTGGGGCTCCTGCTTGCTTGGTTACCTTCCTTGCTTGCCTTCCTTGCCTTCTCCTGCCGTTGCATGGACGTGCTTTACCCAGTGCAGGTGAGCTGGCTGGCCAGGGGCCAGAGGAGGAATTTGGCACCCAGCTCTTGCACAAAATCACTGCCAAGGTGTGTTGATTGTTGGAGATGTCCTCTGCTCCTTGCTGATCCTGGTCAGGACCTGCAGGGATGTCCATGGCTTTTGTCCTCCTTGTGCTGGAGCTTGCCTGGGAAGGAGCTTGTCCTCCTTGCCTCTTCCCCTCATGAAAAATTCATCTTTGCCACCTTTGCTTCCCGTCCCGCAGTTCATTGACAGCATTCCCTTTCTCCCGGCAGGCCCGGCGTCATCACCATGCAGGCGCTCTCGGAGGAGGACCGGCGGCTGTGGATGGAGGCCATGGACGGCCGGGAGCCGGTGAGCAGGAGTTTTGGGCAGAAGGCAGAGGAAATCCAGGCGAGCTCTCGGGAGCCCGGGCTCGCTGCGGAGCCGCTGCCACGCAGCGCCTGCCAGCCCTCGAGGGAGCTGTATTATCCGTGGGGCAGCTTCTGCCTCCTGCCAAGAGAATCCTTTAATCCCTTGGTTAAATATTTGAGGTAATACTGTATCTCCCGTGCTTGGATTGCTTGGAGGTGCGGTGGAGAGGAGGAGGGTAGGCTTGGCCAGCACAAACATGCTGCTCTGCCGTGCTGAAAGGAAAACATGGCAAAAAGAGCAGTGGAAGAAAAGACGTTGTAGATTTCCAGGGCTTTTGGAGTCCTGCGGCTCCTTGGCAGCCGTTTCTGGGTCTGGTAGAGGATTGTAGGTTTCGTGTGAGCGGAGGAGTGTGGCCCCTCTTCTCCGTGTTTGCTCCTGCTGTGCCAAAGGCTTCCTCACCTCTGGAAGGGATTCTGGAGGTTTGCAGAAAACTCATTGTTGTTCATTTTTATTTTGGAATGCATTTGCAAACCTCACTGCCAGCTTGAAGAGCGTTGGCTGGTTGTGAGCGGGTCCCTCAGGGGGTGCTGGGGTCACGGCTTGGTGACTCTGTGTGGTGACTCTCCTGTGGCATTTAGGGCACTGCTGAGCAGCCAAGACAGTCTGTGGCCTCTGTGCCTGCTCATGGCCAACAGCATTTTGGGATATGAAAAGAAGCTGTGTGGAGAGCCAGAGCAGCCTGGGCTGTGACAGCCCTTGTGGCTTTGGAGTGGGTGTCTGCACTCTGGGCTCGAGCCAGGCTCTGGCAGTCAGAGCAGAGCCCATGCAGGGAGCAGGGTGTCCCACCCAGCACAGCCTGCTCCCACAGACCCCCCCAGATCCATGGAAAGGTTCTTGTTTGTCAGGAGAAATGTTCATTGGAGCATTCAGGTGAGGCATGGACACACGAGGCTGTTCTGTGAGTGCTGGAGTTGGTCAAGCGCTTGCTTTTGGAACGTGCAGCAGTTGGGAGATCGGGAGGCTGCGTGTGGGAGGTGCTGCCCTGCATTTCAGGGAAAGGATTGCGTGGTGGATTGCAGCCAGGTCCCAGCCTGGAGTCGTAGATCCATCAGGTAATTCAGGTAGGACGGGAGCTCAGGAGGTTTCTGGTCCAGCCTCCTGCTCAGAGCAGGTTGCTCGGGGCGTTACTGGTCGGGAGCTGAGATCATCCGAGGGAGGAGAGGGCACAGCCTGCCTGGGCTCCAGCCCAGCTGCTTCCCTGGCCTCCTGACCCCAAGTCTGAACCTCTCTTGTTTCAATTTACACCCACACAGAGAAGCTGTGGTTGCCCCATCCCTGATCCAGGTCCACGCTGGACAGGGCAGTGGGTAGGACTGGATGAGATTTAAGGGCCTTTCCAATTTAAACCATTCCATGATTCTCTGGTTCTGTGACAGCCTCTGCTCCCTTCTTCTGTCACCTGTTGGAAAGGGGCCCTTGTCTGGGAGAACCAGCCTGCTCCTCCACCCTTGGCTCTTGACCCCTGGGGCAGCTATAGTGGCACAACCCTCTCCAGCTCCAGGTGCCATCTGTCTTGATCCCTCCTAAAGAAAACCCTGCCTTGATTCTGGTGGCACCATTTCTTCAGAAACAAAATAGGCACTGTTGCTCCTAATCTGAATGGAGTCTTGTGCTCCTCCAACCTGCTCACCTGCCTCCCACTGCCCACCTCTGCTGGGAGCTGCTGTGGCAGGGATGGCAAAGCCAGTCAGCTGCCATGGGAGCTGCAGGAAAGCAGTCACCCAGCTGTGTGTGAGCTGCTGATGGTACCAGGGTGCAGCACAGGAGCACAGCCAGTCTGCAGAGGTGCACACACAGGTCTTGGGTGCTTGCAAAGAGCTGTGCATGCCAAAGGTTCTGTGGAGCAACCAGGACAGGACTGCCTGGATTATCCTGTTCCAGAATCTGGTCACGAGAACTCCTTCCAAACCACACAGGTGGTGGTGCCTGCGTGCTGCTGTTCTCCCCTATCATGCCCATCAGCTGAGGTGAGGGCAGCTGGCTCATCCAGCACGTCAGGGGCTGTGGCTGTGCATTAATGCCATACCTTGTGGCACTTAATTGCTAATGGCTTACACTGCCCTTCCAGGTGTGGAGTGGGAGCGATGGGAATGCCGCCTGCATGGAAAGGGATCCAAGAGACACTTTGCTGCTGAAGGTGGAGGGTGTTGACACATGAGGCAGCTGCTTGTCCTCAGCTATCCTCCTCCATCCATCAAAAATGCAGCTGTGGGCTGTTCTGTTTGGGTTCTTATCTTACAACACCAGGGTGCAGCATGTTATCTTCATGTTACCTATTCCAGAGGGATTTCCTTGAGCAAGAGATGAGGATTTAACCTTTGGACTCATAGAAATATCCATTCTATGCTTTGACTGTATTTCTGTAACCAAAGAACCCTACTGGAAAGAATGTCTGGTTTTCCTTTGATTTGACTGTAGAGTGTGGGGAAGGATTGGCACGGTGGGGATGGTAATTCCATGAGCAAATTCAGGCTGTGGAGAGATTAGCGCGGACTGGAGTTTGTTTCTTAATTATAATGAAAAAAGTAAACCCAAATGTCAAATTACATCTTAGTGAGATTTAAGCATAGAATGTGGCTGCATTAGCCAAGACATTTGTCACAACTTGAGAAGATTTACGCTGTGTCTCACAGTCAGCAGCCTCCAGACAGCCCTCATCACGCCGTTAACTCTTACCACTTGTTATTCATTTGGATAAAGCCCCCGTGTTGACTTTGGGTTTTCTTCCATGTTGCAGAGGCTGGAAACAGGAGAAACTGCTAACTCCATGACGGAGCAGTGGTGTTTGGTTTTGTTAAGATACTCAGGATCAGTTTCTTATGGATTTTCTCCTGTGCTGATGCAGTTTGCAAATGTATGTGGTGGAGGCCAGAGCGATTCTGAAACTTCCTTGGAACCTGAGTCAGGAATAAAAACTGTGTTGGCTGATGGTGGCTGTGCTGGGCTGAGGGTTTAGGAGAGGCACAAATTAGGCTGTGTCTTGTGGCAAAGAGCAAGGTAAGCATTTAGGTGAGGTTGTGGTGAATGAGTGTGGAGGAGGAGGAGGAGGCTCAGGGGGACCTTGTGGCTCTGCACAGTGCCCTGCCAGGAGAGGACAGCTGTGGGGTCGGGCTGTGCTCCAGGGAGCAGGGACAGGAGGAGAGGGAACCGCCTGAAGCTGGGCTAGGGGTGGACAGGGTGGGCACCAGCAGGAATTTCCCCATGGAAAGGGTGCTCAGGCACTGGAACTGCCCAGGGAGCTTTGGAGTGCCCATCCCTGGAGACGCCCAAGGAATTCCTGGCCGTGGCACTCAGAGCTCTGGGCTGGGGACAAGGTGGGGATCAGGCACAGCTGGAAGCCGGTGGCCTTGGAGAGCTTTTCCCCAGCGGTGCCGGAGCCGGGGCCAGCCCGGAGCCGTGGCCGCTCCCCACTAGATGGCGGCTGAGACCGGCCCCTCACGGCACCTGTGCCCGGGGTGGCACCGCGCCCCGCACACCCGGGCCCCCTCCGTGCCGGGCAGCGATGTGACCCGGCCCGGGCCCCCGGGTCCCCTCCGTGCCCGGGCGGCGGTGTGACCCGGCCCAGGCCCCCTCCGTGCCCGGGCAGCGATGTGACCCGGCCCGGGCCCCCGGCCTGTGGGGCTGCTCGGGCTGGGGACAGCGCTCGCCCTCCCGGCTGTGTCCCCAAACTCACAGCCCCAAACCTCCTGTGTTCCTGCTCTGTTCCTGCTCTCTTCCTGCTCTATTCTATTTCTCCTCTATTTCTCCTCTGTTCCTCCTGTTTCTCGTCTGTTTCTTGTCTGTTTCTCCTCTGTTTCTCCACTGTTTCTCGTCTGTTTCTCGTCTGTTTCTCCCCTATTCTCGTCTGTTTCTCGTCTGTTTCTCGTCTGTTTCTCGTCTGTTTCTCGTCTGTTTCTTGTCTGTTTCTCCTCTGTTCCTCCTCTGTTCCTCCTCTGTTTCTCCCCTGTTTCTCGTCTGTTTCTCGTCTGTTTCTCGTCTGTTTCTCGTCTGTTTCTCCTCTGTTTCTCCCCTGTTTCTCCCCTGTTCCTCCTCTGTTCCTCCCCTGTTTCTCCCCCGTTTCTCCTCTGTTTTTCCCGTTTCTCCTCTGTTTCTCCCCTGTTTCTCCTCTGTTTCTCTGCCTCCCCCTCCTGCGGCGTGTCCCCTCAGGGTCTGCTGGCTCCTCCACATGTGCTGGGTGCCACGGCCGCTCTGGATGTGCCTCTGGAGCTCCCCGTGCCCTGCTCCTGTCCCAGTGCTCCTGGTGGCACACCTGTCACTGGTCCTGGAGCTGCTCCAGCCCTGCTGCTGGAGATGCCACCCGTGTTGGTGTGGCAGTGACAGCAGAGCCCAGCCCCGCATTCTTGCCCAGTGCACCTCTCACCTCCTCCTTGGATATTGCTTCTGGGAATTCTTTCTGAAATTGCTTTTCATTTTCCTTGTCTAATTATACAAAATGGTGAGAGATTTATTTCCCAGTGGAAACGCTGTCTTGTGAACTCACTCCAGTGCTTTCAACCTCGGCATTTTTGTCATTTTGGCTCATTCAAAAAATAAATTCCCTTGAAGGACTTCAGTCCCAGTGTGGCTGCAGGAGGATGGATAGGCACCCACTGCTCGCCTTCCCAACCCCTTGTGCTGGGACTCAGTGGAGCTGCAGATCTGCTTTGTCTTGTGAATTCATTCCATCTCAGTTATCAGAGATGGTAGAAAAAGCCTCACCCAGAGCATCTTTGAGCACAGACGGTGTCTGTGGCCTGAGCTCTCTGCACGGGGAGCCCGTGGGCGAGTGCCGGAGCGATCGCCGTGTTCTCTGCTCTGCTCTCCCCAGGGTCTGCTCCCTGCCTGCCTCCTCTGTGTCTTTCCTCACAGCCTTTTTCGTGCTGAGCTTTGATTATGTTCTCAATCCCCCAGACATGTTTCTGTCAGCTTTCTGGAAAATATGTTTTTTTATGTGCTCTGTC